GTCCCTCTATGGTGATGTTCCCATCGACACTGTACTGCTTCCTGCCAATGAGTATGGCCTGGCTCTTCTCTGCATTTATCTTCAGCTTCCACTTGATGAACCCCTGATGTAGTTCGTCAATTGCAAGCTGGAGCTGTTGCCTGATGCAGTCCTTGCGCCATGAGTGTGTCAGAAGGGTCGTATCATCTGCAAAGAGTACCGGGGTCGTATTGGCAGGTCTTGGAATTTCGCTTGTGTATATGTTGTATAGCAGTGGGGAGAGCACTGCTCCTTGCGGTACTCCTGCCTCAGTGCTTCTGGTTTCTGACCGGTGATCTCCAACTTTGACGCTGAAGCTCCTTCTGCAAATATAACTGTCTATTAACTGGCACAGTTTCTTGATAATACCTGTTTCCATCATCTTGTAGATCAGACCGTCTCTCCACACTCTGTCGAACGCTCTTTCGACATCCAGTGTGAGTATTCCAGTCGTTCGGTACTGATTCATTTCTTTGGTGCATCTTTCTACTATCCTGAGTAGCTGAAGTTCCGTGGGATGCTTTCCTCGAAATCCAAACTGTTCTGGGGGAAGCAAATCAAGCTCGATCGTTTCCTCCTTAAGTCTCCTCAGTATAACCCTTTCGCCTATTTTACTGAGAGCGGGCAACAGGCTGATAGGCCTATAGTTTTGGGGAAAGTCCTGTTTTTAGTTCTGAAAATGGCCTTAATCAAGTTAGCTACAGCTACCAGTAAACTACCTTTTCTCGGTAGGTTCTTCAGCATTTTGTTGGTCAATCCATCTCTCCCAGGGGCTTTCTTAGCTTTGGTTCCTCTGATTCTTCCAGTATTTATGTGCATGGTTGACATACAACAAGCATTCGATAGAGTAAGGCTAACAGGCATCGAAAATATTCTACACCTCCATGGCCTAGATAACAGATATATCCGCATAATAAGAGATCTGAATAGGAACGGCAAAACGCGAATCAAAGTTAATCAGAAACTAACACAAGAAGTACATTTAAAAACAGGAATACGGCAGGGTGACAGTTTAAGCTCCATACTTTTCAATATAATAATAAACGAGATTGTCGATGATGTTAAACGAGAGGGAATAGGATACCGAATGGCCCACAAATCTTTAAAGATATTGTTTATGCAGATGATGCCGCATTAACATCAGAAAGTGAAGATGACCTGCAACGGTTACTATTTAGATTTAAACGAACTGCAGAACGTTATAATATGACTATCTCCACAGAGAAAACACAATCCATCGTCATATCTAAAAAACCCATCTGTTGTAAGTTGGCAGTCGATGAGAAGACAATAGAGCAAGTGATGAAGTTTGACTATCTTGGCGCGCAAATATCGAGCAGCAGGAATCTGATCGAGGAAACGAGGGCAAATACAATGAAGGCATCGAGAATCTCAGGAAGCTTGCGAGACGTCATCTGGAACAATAAATTCAT